GGTTCATGATAATGAATTTCAGTATTTCCAATAGTGTTCAGTTCCAGCTCCAGTCCCTCAAAAACTATTAACTTCTGTAACAAATCACTTGCCTCATTTCGTACATGGGTCATGCTTGTTGTTGTTGGTTTCAGCGCTCATCTGCCGTCGCAGATATCGATATACCTGCGTGTCTCTTCAACCATCTGAGGGTCCAGCGACACCTTCATCTCTTTGTCCTGGCATCCTGGGCGAGCTGGTCCTAGGTCCTAATGCCTGGTTCCGAGGTCTGGTCACTAGTCGATCATAACCTCAGGAAGGCGATGTCTCCCCTCGCCCTGGCCTCCCTTAACTTCGGCATCAACTCCCTTCTTCTCTTCCTCACAGCGTCGGTGTAATCTTCATTTATATAAATATTAGATCCTTTAAGCTTCTTTGCTTGTTGCAATATTTGTGCCTTATCTTTCTCTTTCATCAACTTCACCAATACCGCCCTCGGACCACGATCCGAAGGTTTCCTGACTCTGTGAGCCCGCTCCATCTCAATTTCTTGATGAATTTGCAGATTATTTTTCAAAATCTCCTTCACTTTACCTTCTGCTTCCGACCAGCTTTCTCCAGTTGTCTCCTTGATTCCCTCAAAGATCGAGTTTTTTCGCTTGGACTGTGCTTCCAGATGCTCCATTTTGTCCGTTATAGTTATTAATACAAAGAGCTCAATGCATTCCCTCAGAGCCACAGTGGCTCTCTTCTTTTGGGGCTGCAGCATGCTTTCATGCTTCTCATAGGCCTCTGCTTTACCACAAGAACCCTACTGTTCTCGCAGATTACGCTCATTGTTGTAATTGCTGTAATTAAAGATGAAACAAATATTCTAATTATGATATCAGCCGACTTACTTGAAGGAATGATAGATGTTAGTGATTGGCCTGCACAGTGTCTTCATCATTATTCGGAAGAGTGGGTGTGTCATGTTGATAATGCATCCTGCTGTTTTCTAACAAATAAACACAGCTTCCTCCTTTTTTCTGATTCTGCAGCCTGCGCCTTCATTAGCTGCACAACTGTGTCTCAGAGCAAATTGTCTAGTGGATGCTAACATTTTATACTTTGCATTCTGGAATAGGTATAAATAATTGTGGCAGACCATGAGGCTCCCATCAGTCAATATGTGTTGTCTGACCATTTATTAATAGAATCCTAAATGTGCTTTCATTTCCTTATCAGTAAATAGGCTTGTCAGAGCTATTGTGTGGCCTCATATTCAGACAACAGTATAATTATTCATTCAAGCTACGCCCATTTCTGTTGAGGCTTTAAATGGATCACTGTTTCTGAGGAAAGGGAAAGTGATCTGCCTCATGTTCTTCAGATAATTTTCAGCCATGAAAGTTTTATGAATGACATTGTGGAGGATTAAAACCTGCTGTCAATCAATATGTCAAGTCAAGTTTATTATCCTTAAGCAGCCAAACCTAACTGGTAAACCTACTAAATTTGCACATTTAGGTCATTTTACTTGTCTTTGATAGCAGTACATGTACTGTAAAAAGAGTCATATTATATTTGGTGTAGCGCTAAAGGAACCTTTTTTTAGTCTAAGAAAATAACCCTTATGATGTTACAGAGGTTTTTCAGTTCAGTGTTTACAGGCAGAAAGGCAAACATGCAAAACATCATGGGAAATGTAAAATCCCGAATTTTTGGGAGCTTAAATCATATCAGATATTAGTATTCACAGTCAAGATATCATCAACTCATCTCCTTCAATTTGGCAATTCATTCATTTATTTACATTTCTGTGCAAAACTAAAGCAGTAAAAAGACATAAAATAGCACATGCTGGTTTTACCATAAGGTATGGAACGCCTTATGCCAAATAAGTATTGCTTTGATGAAAATGAGTTATATAACTTCACTGTATACATTTGGCAGGGTTTTGATAGAGTAATTAGAAGTAGAAGACTGGATGTGTGTTGAGCTTACATCCTGTATCTGGCAGTGTTTCAAATCCTCCCACACTCATTTTGCATTCTGCGCTCTCCTGGCTTTGTTAATCATATGCATGAACAGCTCCACACTCACTGTACATATACAGTATGCAGTGTTTCAGGTTCATCTTCATGCAGTGTTTATAGGCAATGTTAAACTGAATACCACTCTCATGTCTGTTCTTTCCTCTGGTCATTTCAGTTCACATGTAAGGATTGTGATTTTTTTTCCTGTGTATGTGTAATTGAGTAATTTGCATATGTTTTTATGTATTTTGACATTGTTTCCTTATTTGTGAAATATGTGTTGCTGCTGCAGAATGGATGACGCAGAGGCTTGTTTTATTCTAAGCAGTCGTAATGAGGTGGATCGCATGGCTGCGGTAAGAAGAACAATAATTACGCTTCATCGGTTATGAGTTGTCATTTCTTGTCTTACAAAAACCGCAGTCATTGATGCTGTCAGTCATGAAAATAATTCCTAACTAAATAAAGGATATTAATTAGAAAATGTAAGTGTAAAAACACATTGTCTTTGGCTGTTTTCCCACAGGACCATCAGACCATCCTGAGAGCCTGGGCAGTAAAGGACTTTGCTCCAAATTGTCCCCTTTATGTCCAGATACTCAAACCTGAAAACAAGTTTCATGTCAAATTTGCAGGTGAGAGTTACAAACTTGCTGTGCAGTGTAGCATTCACTACACTGCTTTTGTGTTTTTTCACTGAAAAGCAGATAAACAGGGTGAGCATCCTTCCTGAGAAACACCCTGATTAGTACATTTATTGCTCTTTTCAGATCATGTTGTCTGTGAGGAAGAGTTCAAGTATGCCATGTTGGCTCTCAACTGTGTTTGTCCTGCCACCTCCACGTTGGTTACACTCCTTGTTCACACCTCCCGTGGACGGTCAGTCATTTTGTATTTCCTCCTCAGCCTTTGGGTTTATCCTTAGTGTGACTGCAAAGTTCATATTTATTCACATGCTCACATCTTCTGATCTATTTATAGCTTCCATACAGCTGGCACAGAGAGGCGACTAAGCCC